TTTGTGAAAAATAGAAAACTTGCATATGGTCTAAAATGTTGTGCCATTTATTGGTGTCATAAAGGTTTTTTTTTTTTTTTTTTTTTTTTTTTTTTATAATTTTTTATTAAATTTTGGGCTCATTTTTTTTTTGTATGTGCACAAAACTTTACAATAACATCGGGGACACATTCTGTGAGGACAAATCTGTGATCATCTGTGCCAAATCTGTGATCATCTAATGACTCCTGTGCATATTTTGCATGTGAAATGGCATTAAAACTTCTGCCTTTACAATTTTGCTCTTTAATGTGTAATTCAGGTAACATTGAAAATATCACATATTTTCCCAGTGATTAAAATGAAGCAAAACAGATGGGGTTAATGGAAAACCATGGCACATGATAATTGCAAGTATTCACTTGTGTTTTATTAGTAAATCTAAATGTAGCATAAGAAGAAAATGTTAAGTAAATTCTGGTTAGGCTAGATTCCTTTCACATTAATATATTCAAAAACTTCAAAAGACACACATAAATTGTAAATGCTCCAATGCATGTGTAAGTTCTTTAGGACTGTCTCTCTGGGTCAGAAATTGATATGCAAATATAACAGTAAAAATGACAGAAGTATGTGTTTCTGCTTTAACTTAAAAACAAAACAAAACAAAAAAACCAGCACCACTGGACAGCTGTATTATAAATGTATGCTCCCATCCTGAAAATGCTTCTGCATGTGAGTAGTCTCTGAGGGCATTGGGGAGACCCACATGTGTAAAGTCACTCATTTGTGCAAGTGTCTTCAGGATCAGGGCCATAGAACTGGAAAATACAAAGAAATACTCACCATAATAAAAAACTGCTCTAATTCTAAAATATTTCCTTGTAAAAGCTTCCACTCTTTAAGCATGCAATTCGAAATTATTATATATTATTCTTTCAAATATGTTTTCTTTTTGAATCCTTAGATTTTAAAAATGACCAGTATTATGGATTTCTCAGTACCGCAAAAGAACATTGGAATGTCTGACATGATTTAGTTTACCTCTAGGTTTGGGCATCATTTGACCACCAGTTGACTTATTCAAAGCTTGAGATATATAAATACAGTATACTCTTTGTTTATTTTGTTACTTATTTTATGCCATGGTATATGGGTGTTATAACACTAAGCCTTTTGTAAATCATTGTTTAGTACATGTAAGACTCCAAGTAAGACTATTTTCTCATTTATGTTAAAGAAAAAGCTCCAGTGTACTAAAAAGAATCTTCCATTGTTAAATATATGGGGGAAAAAGGTATTGTTTTTCCTTCCATGATAACACACACAATAGGATGCAAAATAATGGGGATGGAGGAGGGATTGCAGAATCACTGTTTATTTTAGGTGTTCTATTCTGTTATTGGTTGTGGTCGTGTTTGAACTTATTTGAAATAAAATATTTGGAAAACTTGCTTGTTTTCTCCACAATATTTAGTTTTTTATAGTAGGAGGGTTTTTTTTTACTTCAGTAAATATTTTCACAATAAGGAGTGTTAGAAATTAATAGACAGCTCTTCATTTAAAAAATAATTAAAAAGTTGCAATTAGCAAAATACGCTAATCTGTATTGATACAACATCACACTAAACCTTTCTCCGTTTCAAGCACAATTTTCTTGTTAATCTAGCTCAGTAATGTCTCTTTCCCTTCTATTATGGCTCAGCTCAGCTTCCCTGATTTCAGCAATTTTGTTTAAGCCAAGTCTGGCTTTAAAGTGCTGCATTTTCTTCACATATAAAAGTGTTTATTATACTATGAACTAAACACCAACAACCTAACCTGGTGCAAATCAATACTTTTCAAAGCAGTGTATTTTTTTTTTTTTTTTAATACAAATAGAAACTTTGGTCTCATGATTATTTTTCTTGCATGCTAGGATCCTTGAGGGCTGGTCTACATAAAATTTTGTAACGCTTTGTGTAACTCCTTACTGTGGATGCAGTTATATATTTACTGTAGCATATTTATATTTAGTAAATTTAACAAAATCAGCTGTTTTGATATAAATACTCTATATGGATATAACTGTATCCACACTTGAAATTGCACCAAAACGGTATAGACAAGCCCTTAATAGTAATTGGAAGAACACATTTTAGCACTTGAGTGGTAAATTGATCTATATTCTTGCTCTATATTAGGTCAGCTACCCACAGTCCCAAGGAGAAGTTTTGGCAGCCATGGATCAGTGGGAAATGGGGTACCCCAAGCCTGTCCCCTTTGCCATGACCAAACACCAGCACTGGGGAGGGTTAAGAAGAAGGTTCAGCCATGATGGTGGCCCTAAACCAAACCCCCTGTGCAGGGTGAATCCACATGGAGCCCTTTAAACTCTGTGAAATGCAGGATGCTTTATGCCACCAGAAAGGTAAAAAATAGCCTTAATGGGACAGAGGATCTAGCCCATCTTTTGAATAAGAGGTATCCCTGCTGCAAGTTAAAGTTATTCCTGTTCCTTTCATGATGACTGTGTGTTAGTACCAAATTACACTTTTCATAGCACGTGTCTACTAATATGTTGTGCCTTTATGATAACCAGATACAGAGATTGAGTCTAAACTAACTAACCTATGTTTCAGTATTATGTGCTTTATATTTTTTTTGTTCATATCTTTAAAAGAGTTGTTTTTTAAAGGAGATATTTATTCTGTCTTGTACAGCACCTAGCACAATGGGGTCCTGGTGCATGACAGTGGCTCTAAGGTGCTACTGCAATATAATAATAGTAGTTTTGAATAGTCTGTTTAATGCCATTTGCAAATGAGCACTATATAAATGTAATTTTGTTACTTTTTTAATAAGGAAAACTAAAATGTGAATATAACAATCCTGTTCTGATTGATACATTTTGGTCTTGGCTTGGAGAATCTCTTTCTGGGGGAATCTACTGTCACACCCTCCCACACATCCCATCTTGTAGTAAAGGCTGGTTGTTTCTGACAAATGGCTTCCTCCAAGAGGACCTAATATATCAACTTATTATGAATTCACCTACTGATGGGCATATACATTTTAGCACGATTAGCCAATAAAAATAAATACATCTGCAGCGAACATGGTACACTATATGCAGCCTTGCACTATAATACTAAACAGGAAACAGCAGCATATGAATCTGCAACTGGCTTCTCTAGAGGCTGCACACTTCCACAGGTGATAGCAGGGGTGGATCTGGCTCTGGAACTATCTCTGAAACAAGCTGACAAAGAGCTGATAGCATTGTAGAATTTAGTTTCTTCTTGGATTTATTTTGCTTTTAATGCACTTTGGTTGTGATAAGTTTGCTCAGTTATTCTGTGTGTAGCTAATGTCCCGCACGTGAGAGTCTTTTGCAAGGCCTGTGTAGTGATAGAACTTGGCTCCTGTTCCCAATGTGCTTCGGTTGCAGGGACCACATAGTGTACATGCCATTTGTGGATCATTTGCCATTTGGTTTTGGTTGTTGGGGAAAGTTGAACAATCTTCCTTCCCCCTGCTGACCCGTTGTGACCATTCAACATTTCCGTTCAAAATATTATACAAGAAATTTGGGGGAGGGGGAAGGGTTGGATATAACTAAGATAGGGCCAAATGATACCCACCTTCAGTGAAACTCTGAGCAGGGGAAAAGGGTTTGGGGAAACTCAATAAGGTGAACCTTGCAGAGTTTCTCTGTTTTCGTTCTTGTACTGAGACTGAGAGGGATTCTAATCTCATGGGAATTCCCCCAATCTTGCAGAACCTGGGATTCTTTGGGGAAATAAAGTTACAGCTGCATGATTCCTGAAGCATATGGATCCCCTCACATTTCTGGCTGGCCTTCTCCTCACCTCTGGATGCATGGTTTTGGGTACGTTCTGCTGTTTCCTTGATTGTATACAAAGGACTCTGTCTTGCAAACTGCTGGCACTCTGGTCCTGATTCAATGAAGATCATAAGCACATGCTTAAAGATAGCTGTGTGCTTCAGTGGATCATGGCCAGAGTGCTGAGTACCCTGCAGGATTAAGTCCTAGGGCTATGATCAAAACCTATTTTTAAGTCAATGGAAAGGCTCCCATTGACTTCAGTGGGCTTTGGATCAGGCCCTAAGACTTTCCCTGAGGTGAGGGGAAGATCCTCAGAAGAATGTTCATGCCAGTAAGAACCCTGCAGATTTCAATTTTCCCCCAGTTCTATACTGTAGAGATTCCTTTGGCAACATCATTTATGTGGAACAGACTCTGTTGAACTTACAAAAATCACACTTTTATTACACCACTCACCGGGTGGATTTCTGCTTGGAAGTCCATTGGCATTTGAGGGGAATGTCTGAGTAGAGTAAGTGCTGCCTAGGTTTACTTTCCACCTTCTACCTTGCCATGCCCTCCCATACCGCCATGCCCATCTGTGTTATGTAAGCCTAGCAGGGCAGCGCTTCTGCTAGCTTGTGTGAAGGGGTAGGAGTACATCATTGCCCTTTAAGCACATGTTTTCCCCACTCTGCTTCAGGGGTCATTCATACCACATCCCAATCAGATGCAATTCTTCTTGCTCTGATGTACTGTTATGTACATGCGTATGTAAAATATGTTTCATTATATGTGTAAATATATCCTGTATATTATGTAAAAATTACCACTCTTATACTGATTATAGATTATAATCCCATCTCGCTGTTAAAAAAATGGCTACTTTTTTCATACAGATAAGTATAAAACAAAAAAATCTGACTTTGGAAATGTTAAGTTAAGTTTCCAGCAACAGCATTATCTTGGCCATGTTCCCTGTCTTTTATATTTAATGATATGCATTGAGCATGAAGAGAGGTATATCAAACTACATGTTTAGAGTTAAAAGAAAAATAGTAGTTCTCTATTTGCAACCTTTATTTTGCATGTCCTGACCTAATTGTGCAACCTTATTCTTGCATTAACATTTTGTTGCATTTAATAAGTAGATGTGTATAATATATATGTGTACATTGTATACACTTATCTATGTCTGTCCTTTTGAATGTAGGTATGTATCTTGTGCACTGGGATGCCCGTATGAAGGAAACATCATACCAGCTAAAGTGGCAGAAGTAAGAATGCATCTGTCTTTCATATGTTTTAAACACGCTTGAATTATTTTCTCTGTTTAATCCTAGAAGGGTCAATAATGAATCAAAATCAATGTAAAAGGAACACAAAAACCAAACAAACTCTAGACTTGGGTGAATAATTTTGCTCAGCACTATCCGCTTAGATGTAAAGAAAATAATGTGCTTTGGTGGTAATCCATCACAAAGCAAAAAATTAGGAGTTATTTCCTTCAAACAGAAGGGCAAGGAAATACTTTGGAAAATAGACTCAAACGCACATGAGAATAGACCATGTTGCATGAGATTTTTTCCAGCATGATCCCCTGTAAGCAGCAGCTGCTGTTAAATTCACTATGTGCCGACACCAGTTTGCTGCTCCCCTACAGTCAAACTTGCCATTGAATCGTGGTCCTCTGGGCATACAGCACCCAAGTGCTGGCATCTGCAGTAGCTGCACTAATTGAGAGAATGGACTAGGGACCCACTCACAAAATACTTTCCTACTACAAAGCTGTTGGGGGGCATAAGTGCATAAGGAAGGGGAGACTGATGAACGCGGTTAAAAGAGGCTGCCTTCCCAAGTAGGGAAAGAGACAAGAGGCAAAGCTGACAGGAAAGTAAGGCCTGGTCTGCACTACACAGTTAGGTCAACATAAGGTGCCTTGCGTTGACTTAGCTGTGGAAGTGTCTTCACTGAAATTTGGCTCCCGCTTGCTAAGTACCTCTCTATGCTGATTTAGTAACACCACCTCCCCGCGCGGTGTAGAGTCACGGTCGATGTAATTAGGTGTCAGTGTAGACACTGCATTGCTTATGTTGACTTGCTGGCCTCTGGAGCCATCCCTTGCTCCACACTGACAATACAATTGATAAAGATGCTCCTGGTGAGGACATGCACCACTGACAGGAGCCAAGCGTGCGCACACACACACACGCACGCACGCAATTTAATAACTGCGGTGGCTCTATCCTGACACAAGTTAGGTTGACATAATTTTGTAGTATAGACATGGCCTAAGAAACAGCTGGATAGGCCTCCAGCAGAGAGAGAGAGAGAGGGAGAATTGTGGAAATGAGAGGGGAAAGAGAAATCAAGAGGCACAATAAAACAGGGGTAACAGCTGTAAAGATTGTCATTCTGGGGAAAGACACATCACACTCTTGGCCTTTGGCAATACTCCCTTTTTTCCCCCCCCAATTGCTTTTGCAGCCAGTCAACATTTGTATTCAGCGTGGGGAGCTTGCAAGGCATGTCCTCTCTCTCCACATCTTCTCTGCGTACTGGTGCCAGTTGGAGCTTGTGATAATGCTCCCACAGCAGCCACACACTTATGCTCTCTGGAAAATTTGCTAGATTGGAAGGTATTCAGTATTTCTGAATTAACTGGTTTTAAGAAGAAGTGAAAGTTAAGTGGCACAGCTTTAGATATAGTGATGATGACAGATTCAGCTGTGGTGTAATGAATTGCTTATTGCAGACATTTCCCCAACAGGCTTCTTTCAATGTGTTGCTTATTTTAAGGACCACTTACCTTCCTTGCACAAAACTAGTCCCTTACAGTGTTACAGTAGGAGTGCTCTTTAATGGCCCAATCCCGTAAACCTTTACTCGTATAAGTATTGCATACTGTACCTTAATCCCATTCAATGTCTTCTTCAATAGCCATACGCCTATGAGCACATTGTGAGTGATCAAAATAAAATAGCATCTTAAAGTAACTAATTTAGGCTCTGATTCAGCACATATGTCACTAGAAGCATGTAAGCAACCTGGGTGGGTGGCACACAGACACATCTGCTTATGTAATTTGCTGGGTCAGAGCTGTCACAGTTACGGGGCTAAATGCTCATCTCATACCTCCTGATCTCTTTGAGCACACCCCCTCTCAGCCCTCAGCCCTCAAGCCATCACTTTTCTCAGGATGGAGTTACACTATTCTCCCATTCTCAGAACAGGCCCTGGATTAGTCTTTTGTGTCTCAACATGATTTATCTCAGGAGATCTGACTTTATGTCCTTACCCTGCAATTCTGTTCCCTCCAGGAGCAATAACAGCAAAGTATTACTCATCAGAACAAAAGCATTTCAGAAAACATCAGATCTTAAAATAATAAAACAGACAAAACGCATGTCTAGCTTACCAGATTTCTAACCATCTTCTAGTCATAGTCTGTTTCCTTAATTCACAAGACATTTCTCTCTCCCTCTGGGTAAGGGCTACTCATGTGAGTAAGTGTTTGCAGGATTGGGCCATCAATTCATTTTTCAGTCCACCTTTAGCGCCAAGTCACTATTTGGAGTGGGATAGCCTAGTAAAATAGTATAGGTAGCATAGAAAAAGGCTTTACTTTGATAATGTTAATGAAGTTGCTCCTCTTGAAGATAAAAACCCCCACACTGCTAACATACTGGCTTGGTAATTCCCGAACTCCTGGAATTTTGAAGAATGTAATTCATCAGCCTTGTCCTAGAATATTAGGATGCAATAGTTGTATGACAGTGTGAGAGTACTTGCCTACTCATCTTTCCAATCCATGAGGTTTCTCTGTAGTTAAAAGAAAAAATTTGTTGGCTTTTTTTCAAAACTCAATTTAAGAATTTAACTTTTGATCATAGCAAGGTAATAGAGTTAAAGTCCAGAAGGGACCATCATATCAACTAGTCTGACCTCCTGTATATCCCAGACCACGAACACCATTTAGCACCCACACACACCACTCAACAACCAAAATTAGACCAAAATATTACAGGCCAAAGGAGCCTAACCTATCATGTGCCAAAGGCAGAAAATAGGAGGGACTGAGATGCACCAGTGCCTGAGATCCTGCATGGCAGAGAATTAAGTGAGATTACCTAATTAACCCAGCAAGTGACCTGCACCCGACACTGCAGAGGAAGGTGAAAAACACCCAGTCACTGCCAATGTGACATTGTGGGGCTGGGAAGGAATTTTCCCCTTTCAGTTAGACTTTGAGCATGTGAGCAAGAACCAAACAGCTGAGCATGTGAGGGAGAGAGAATGCTGGGCGCCACCTCAGAGCACTGGCCTGCCCCGTCCAGTGTCCCATCTCCAGCTGTGTCCATCTTTGATGCTTCAGAGAAAGGAGACCCAAATACATAAATAAAAACTAGAATACGGTTTGGGGAAAAATCCCTTCCTGATTCCTCCAGGTGGCCAGCTGAAGCCCTGAAGCATGAGCTTTGGGAATATCAGACGTAAAGCAGAAGGGACTGCCAGGGCTGCCAACCCCTGTCCTGCCCCCATCATCACAAGCAACCCCCTCATATAATCCCACTCCTAAATTTGCCCAGCTCTCTTAAAACTAATTAAGTTGTTTGCCCTCACAACTCCTATTGGGAGGCTGTTCCAGAACCTTACCTCGATAGTTAGAAAGGTGTGTGAGGGCACTCAGTTGATGAAGAGAGGAGCAGGAGCAGAGCAGAATTTTTCCTTCTTCTACCTGACCCTTTAGGGCTCTCTCTTTGGGAGGAAGGGGGACCCAAAGACCCAGCAGTTGATGGAAGGAAGGTGGTTTCCAGCAGCTTATAGGGGAAGCGAGGGATAGAGATGCCTCTGCTCTTTTTGTCATCCCGAATTGCACCTCCAGACAATATCTTCAGCAGATAATTAAAAGGAGGGTCTAGAAAAAAAGATGCAATCTAATATTATAAACTCATGTTGAAATTAAAAAAAAAAAAATTGAAGTTTATGGGCAGAAATCCTCACAGAGTAACAGTACCTTTCTTGCACCTATGGTCTATTCAGGCACCTGCAGTGTGTTTGATGTATAGATGTGCAGCAAGACATGGGCCTTCCTTACACCAAGGTGCTTACAATCAAATGAATGTCCTTCTATTTTATTTTATTTTATATTAAGTGTGTGAGAAATTTATTGTGATTGGAACCTGGATCTTGGATCTGAAAGCAAGAATGTTTTTACTACATTTGCCATAGTGCTAGCGCTCATATCCGCCTTACAAGCTTTGAACAGAACAATTCAATCCACTTGAGTCCTTTTTCATCTGTTCTTCGAATTAAGCAAATAAAAGGATTGCTCCAGTACTTCCGGGACTGGTGGCAAAGCACTTTGTCAACCTCCTCCAACATATATATATAGCAATCCCGCTGCTGATGTCCTTCAATTGCTTTAACAGTACCGTGCAGTACAAATGAAACTATCTTGCAAAGCAGTGTATTTTTAGTTCTGTAATAGTAGATTTGCGGACTGGGATTCTGTCTCTGCAGGGTGTCCTTTTCGGTATGTTTGATGCACAGGTGGGAATGCTGTAAGGAATAAACCTGTTCAGCAACTGAAAATAATTTTTTAGACCATTTCCCAACAAATTCAAAGAGACTATGATGGTAGTTGGAAATGCCTCCTAATAAAAAGTATGGGCTTAGTCCTGCAATCCCTTATTTGCACTAAGTTACTCATATGAGTAGTTCTAGTGAAGTTTATGGTACTGCTTACATTAGTAAGAACTATTCATGAGAGAAAGGGTTTGTAAAATTGGGCTGTATGTTAGGAGTAAAGGAACCTTGTAGACTTTTAATTGTGTAACAGTTTTGAATTTTTTTCACTACAATTTTTTTATTAGTGTCCAGTTTCCTAAAAATCAAGCAATCTAGGGACTAAAATTCCTTTGGTTTGCGTTAGACCTTTGATTTCCAAGGAAAGAAAAATCAGGCCTCTAGTTTACCATTTATTGGTTTAGCACACTCAGTCTGCTTGTTCCTGTGAAATATGCAAACCTAAAGGCAAGTCTTTACTAAAAAAATACACAGGGAAGACAGACCAGCTGGGGAATCCCCAGGCATGGCCGTCCCTAGGGGGGTGCGGAGCCCGGGACATAGGCATCAAGTTTCTACCTGTGGCGGGGGTGTGTGTGTGCTCCCCCTGGCTCCGCCCAAACCCTGCCCCCACTTCACCCCTTCCCCCAAGGTGCAACCTCTCCCCCCCCGTCTTCCCACCCCCGCCCTGCCCCTGCCCCTTCTTAGGCCCAATTCCACCCCGTCCCCTGAGTGTGCTGCACCCTTGCTCCTCTCCCCTCCCCCTCAGCGCCTCCAGACGCAGCGAAACAGATGATCGGCGGTAGGAGGTGGGAGGGAGGGAGGGGGAAGCGCTGATTGGCAGGGCCCGCCAGCGGGCAGGAGACACAGGGGGAGGGGGAGGTTGGTAGGGGGGGCTCCTCCCCGCCTGCCCCCTTGCCTCAGCTCCCCACTCGCCTCCTCACGAAGTACAGGGCCACCAAAGCGCAGGGCCCGGGGCGGTCGCCCTGATTTGCTGTACCCTAGGGACGGCTCTGTCCCCAGGGAAGTGGATAACTTTGGGGAAAGGCTGAGGGAAGTTAATCCATAAATATAAAAATTTTTTGATTCTTTTGGGTGTAATGGGAGAATGAGGGAGAGTGTTGTGACTTGATGAATTTGGCTTGGGAGATTATTCCATGCATGGGGGCAGCATATGAAGAGGAGAGGAACAGTGTGTTTTACTTAGATGGCAATCATTTTTTACTGTATATTCTAAGTATTATTTTTTGCTCTGGTTACATCTCACCATTTTAGAATGCTTTTCTGTTTTCTAATCAGGTGTCTAAACAGCTGTATAGCATGGGCTGCTATGAGATCTCTCTGGGGGACACAATTGGTGTGGGGACCCCCGGCAGCATGAAGAGAATGTTGGAAGCTGTTATGAAGGAAATCCCAGTGAGTGCTCTTGCTGTTCACTGCCATGACACGTATGGCCAGGCTTTAGCCAATATCCTCACAGCCTTACAGGTAATTCAGACTCTCTCTTTACAGATATTTTCAGTAATGATTGCACTTTAATTCATTTGCTAAACATCTATGAAGTACCAGTTACTTTCTGCATTTTCTATAGTTATTACAATTTTCGCACATACTAAGGGTACCTTAGAAGCATGATTGTGTCATTTCATAAACCAGTAGAGACACAAGGTGGGTGAGGTAATATCTTTTATTGGACCAACTTCTGTTGGTGAGAGAGACAAGCTTTTGAGCCACAGAGAGCTCTTCAGGTCTGGGAAAGGTCCTCTGAGCATCACAGCTAAATGCAAGGTGGAACAGATTGTTTAGCATAAGTTGTTAGCACATATTAAAATCTAAATGACCATTCAGGGTAGAGTGGCCTATTACCACCTGTGCAGTCATAGGACAAAAAGAAGGGGAGTTACTGGGTTACAGATTGTTGCAATAAGCTAAATCCAGTGTTTCTGTTCAGTCTATACTTTTTTGGTGTCTAGCGTAATTCCTACTGGGAGGCTGTTCCAGACACTGGATTTATAGCACTGGTCTACAATTTTTGAGAAGTCGTCTGCTTCAGAGATAAAATGTGCTATTTATTATGTATTTTGATGTGCTGAATTCAAATATGACAATTAAAACAACTGATTGGCTACTGTTTCTAAGATATTTAAGTTTTTACATTTTATGTCTATGTATATTGTGTAGATAGTAGAGTTTTAATCATAAATTGTAAACCTAGGTCTTTTCATGTGTTTATGGTTGCTTTACATGATAATATTTCACCTGTCCTGTTTATGTAACACTTCAAAAATCAGCAAAAGGATTATATAAATAAAATTTATTATGAAACAAAAGGCAAAAAACTATTATGTACATAGTTTAGTCCTATTCAGTGTCTACTCGGCGCTTCTTGGCTTGTCTCTTGTATTCATTAAATGGAGCATCTCTTGTCACTGTCCAGCAATAGTCTGCAAGCATTGATGGGCTCCATTTGCTCTGATAGCGTTTCTCCATTGTTGCAATGTCCTGGTGAAATCGCTTGCCGTGCTCGTCGCTCACTGCTCCGCAGTTCGGTGGAAAAAAATCTAGATGAGAGTGCAAAAAATGTATCTTTAGTGACATGTTGCAACCAAGGCTTTTGTATGCCTTGAGGAGGTTTTCCACCAACAACCTGTAGTTGTCTGCCTTGTTGTTTCCGAGAAAATTTATTGCCACTAACTGGAAGGCTTTCCATGCCGTCTTTTCCTTGCCACGCAGTGCATGGTCAAATGCATCATCTCGAAGAAGTTCACGAATCTGAGGACCAACAAAGACACCTTCCTTTATCTTAGCTTCACTTAACCTTGGAAATTTTCCACGGAGGTACTTGAAAGCTGCTTGTGTTTCGTCAATGGCCTTGACAAAGTTCTTCATCAGACCCAGCTTGATGTGTAAGGGTGGTATACAAAATCTTCCTTGATTCAACAAGTGGCGGATGCTGAACACTTTTCCTCCCAGGCTCCAATGACTGTCGGAGTGGCCAATCTTTCTTGATGTAGTGGGAATCTCTTGCACGACTATCTCATTCGCAGAGAAAACAGCAGTACTTTGTGTATCCAGTCTGCAGACCAAGCAAGAGAGCAACAACCTTCAAATCGCCACAAAGCTGCCACTGATGTTGGTCGTAGTTTATGCACCTCAAAAGTTGTTTCATGTTGTCATAGGTTTCCTTCATATGGACTGCATGACCAACTGGAATTGCTGGCAAAACATTGCCATTATGCAGTAAAACAGCTTTAAGACTCGTCTTCGATGAATCAGTGAACAGTCTCCACTCATCTGGATCGTGAACGATGTTGAGGGCTGCCATCACACCATCGATGTTGTTGCAGGCTACAAGATCACCTTCCATGAAGAAGAATGGGACAAGATCCTTTTGACGGTCACAGAACATGGAAACCCTAACATCACCTGCCAGGAGATTCCACTGCTGTAGTCTGGAGCCCAACAGCTCTGCCTTACTCTTGGGTAGTTCCAAATCCCTGACAAGGTCATTCAGTTCACCTTGTGTTATGAGGTGTGGTTCAGAGGAGGAGGATGGGAGAAAATGTGGGTCCTGTGACATTGATGGTTCAGGACCAGAAGTTTCATCCTCTTCCTCTTCCTCGTCTGACTCAAGTGAGAATGATTCTGGTGCACCAGGAACCGGCAGTCCTTCTCCGTGGGGTACTGGGCGTATAGCTGATGGAATGTTTGGATAATGCACAGTCCACTTTTTCTTCTTTGACACACCTTTCCCAACTGGAGGCACCATGCAGAAGTAACAATTGCTGGGATGATCTGTTGGCTCTCTCCAAATCATTGGCACTGCAAAAGGCATAGATTTCCTTTTCCTGTTCAACCACTGGCGAAGATTTGTTGCACAAGTGTTGCAGCATATGTGTGGGGCCCACCTCTTGTCCTGATCTCCAATTTTGCAGCCAAAATAAAGGTGATAGGCTTTCTTAACCATAGTGGTTATACTGCGCTTTTGTGATGCAAAAGTCACTTCACCACAAACATAGCAGAAGTTATCTGCACTCTTCACACAAGTACGAGGCATCTCTGCTCACTTTGGCTAAACAGAAATGTGTCCCTTTGCAAAATCAAACACTGACAAATAAGAGAGCACGACACTGTATGATTTCTAGAGCTGATATAGGGCAATTTGTTCAGCAGAGTGATGTAAGCTTTGTTATGATTGCATCATCCATGACTTCTAGGAATAACATGATGCAATTCATGTCATGTATGACGCAATACCAGCTTCAGATTGCATCGGTCATTGTTTTGCCTAAAAAGCAAGTACTGTCCAAACCCAGTCATAGATTTATTCATAGATCCAGTCAAAGATGTATTTTAGTCATTTCTGGTTTAAATTGAGATCCCTTCCCTTTATAACTCACGTATCCTCTGCCATTCCCAAGTCAAGGGTCGTATATACTGACCCAATAGCATATCTTGAAAACTAAAGCCAATCAACAATTTTAAGCATAATTTTCATTCAGTGACCCTGAATTAGTAAAGTTTGACTACATTTATTTCAGAAGCATTTTGGCTGTAGAGCAGTGTAGTTTATTACAACAATGATCCCTTAGAATATGTGCTAACTACTTATGTTAAACAACCTGTTCCACCTTGCATTTAGCTGTGATGCTTGGAGGACCTTTCCCAGACCTGAAGAAGAGCTCAGTGTGCATCAAAAGTTTCTCTCTCACCAACAGAAGTTGGTCCAGTAAAAGATATCACCTCACCCACCTTGTCTCTCTAATATCCTGGGACTGACACGGCTACAACTACACTGCATAATTCATAAGCCATTATCAGTTATATATTCTTATTCACTTAATGTCTTCAATGCCACACAAAATATACACACCAAGACACAGTCATGGTGATACTATGTGGGTTTGGTTTTAGTGGAAAACAAGAATATAAATTAAATATTAATGAGCCCTCGGGTACCACTTTGTTGGAAGCATGTTGTATGTCCATAGGTTACCAAAGTGACTGACTGTCTAGCACCGTCTAATTTAGAAAGTGCCTAAATATCAAATAGAATGATGCACAATTACTCGTTAGGTGAATGGATTTTGAGTTTTCACACCAGCCATAACAACTTATTTTGAACTGCTCAGATGGTATTAACCTAAGGTTTATTGGTTATCTATTCCACACAGGTAGTAAATATTTTGGATTATTCTTCCACTGTTAACATGGCTTTGGTGTTCTCTTTCTATTATCTATTTATGTACATGAAGATGGTAAAACAAATTAAATCAAACACCTTTCTAACATGTTTAGTTCCCTTTAAAATGTGATTTTAGTTGGCATAAAGATTTCAGTTTTTTAAAAATTGTTCCCTTTCTATACTAATAATTTTGGATAACAGATATATTGACTTTATAGTTAAGACTTCATGAAACCTTCTTCGTCTTTCAAATCCCTCCTTAAAATTCATTGCTCTTATGATGCCTACAAAACACTTAACAATGACTAGGCAGCCGATGTATTAAAACTGCTACTTAATGACCAGATTTGTTTCACTGTTACCTGGTCCTCCCTACCCACCTTTGTTTGTTTTCTCTTTTGGTTGTCTTTTGTCATATGCTAAAATAGTAATTTCTTTGCAGTAGGGATTGCCTTTTTATGATGTGTGTAGTGTGCCCAGCACCACAGGTCCTGATCCCTGATTGGGGTTTCTTGGTTCTACCATGATACAAATAGTAAAAAAAAAAAAAATGAAAAGTGAAAACAGATTGTCTCACTGATCTTGAATCAGCCTGAGCTTGTCTGATCTTCAGTACTAAATGTGTTTGTACCTAATTAGTAGTTGGATAACTTTAGTGATTAAAAACATATATAATTTCATTTTGAAAGACACTATATAGTACATATTTTTCCTGGTGTACAAAGGATAGTGCTTTGGGATATTATGTGGGTGGCTGCTGTTTAATTCCAAATCTTGTCATTGAATAAAATAAATGCAGTCACTACCTTGCAGCTGTACAGATATTGACACATTATTTTGTATACACCAGACTGCAGTTGCTGTTTGTAATAGAACCTAATTCTGCAGTTCTGGGTATAGTTTTCTTCCAAATGTATTTATTTATTTTTCATATTCCTATTTGGAAGAGTTTTTGCTTGTGGGAAGCAGGTCAGATCAAACATTTGTCTTTCGGACAAGTGAGTGGTCAAACATTTTTTAGGTGAGTTCTAGTTTGGAAAGGCAGTGTTAAAGACCAAATGTTGTACACTCATCCCTTCTGCAGAAGTTCACTGCAGATGCCGGGGTAGAGACAGGTCTTACAGTGCTAGGAGATAAGGTGTGTGGCTTCTGCTGTAGAACTATTTACATGGAAGAATGGTTGCATTGGCTAGTGGCTCCTTCATCCCCACCATCCCATAAATCCCCACCACAAATGCTCCTTCCATGCTAATTTGCATGTACACCATGGTACCTCAGTTCTGTGGTGTGGCCCACTGTCCAG